CATTATCGAATTTTAACTTCCATGTTTACAGCGGTGGCGTTGAAAAAGTCGAGAAGGCACGTGAATGGGATATCCAAGTGGTTAATTATCAGTGGCTGGCTGACAACTATGCTGGTCAAAGGGTGGAAGCTGATAATCAACGTTATCAGGTTTGTTCCCATAGAGAGCTTGTGTCGGCTTTATTATTTCTTTGAAAGTTAAACTAGTTTTCTGTTTCAGCTTGGTCAGCCATGTGATGGGGTCTCGCCGGGTCCGTATGCATTGGAAATGATTAACGATCAGTTCAAGCAGCTTCTTCGTGAGTTTTTCTGAGAGCATACATATTTATCTTCAACAACGCGGTTAAAATAGTGAGTTATGCGTTCTCTCCCTCTCATGCTGATTAGTGTACAACAGCAGTATACTTTTGCATTATTTATTATTTTTTGGTACTTTTATTTTTTTTATTCATCTAAGAATTTGTTATGCATTATTTCCTATATCTATTTATTTGCTTTATTTTTTATTTACTCACTTTGCATCTTCTTGTAAACGTTTTGGGTCGTTTGTAAATATTTAGGTATCTCCAATTGTAAATATCCCTACTATATATAATGCGCTAAGTCTGTCTGTCTGTCTGTCACGAAATTCCGTATTAAGCGGACAACAACCTACTGGGTCCAGGTCATGTTTGGGATGGGTGTACCATATCTCGAGAAGTAAAAAACATACATTACCTAAGCGGAGCCCCGCCCACAGTGGGCGTGGCGTGCGTCGAAATGAGTGGTACTAGGAAACAGCCTCGAGACCGGGACAAAAGTGGGCATAGGTGTGGGTTGGTAAGCCAGATTGAACTGAGGAGACCCACCCTCGGTGGGCGGGGCGTTCTCTAGAAAATGGGTGCTCAGTGAAAATATTCATAACTCGGTTAAGAGGAAGCCTACAGACCAGAAACGAAATTAGTGCAGGGGAGCAATGCCTAAGGTATTTCCACCACGCATGATGTGAACGGAGGCCCGCCCACAATGGGCGGAGCGTGTCGTGAAGCGGACAGCGTTTTCTACAAGAGCTCATAAATCGGCTCCGAGATGACTTAGAGACCGGAAAACAACGGATAGAGGTCAGGAGGGGAGGGGAAGCTAAATGTCAGGGATGGGCGTGGCTTACATCAAAGTGGGCGGAGTTTGCAATTAGGCTTATAACTCGGTTCCTAGGAGTCCCGGAGTCCGGGAAAAAAGCGTATGAGGGTTGGCAGAGGGAAAGGGGTCAACCGTTGTTGGCGGGCGGAGCATGCACCAAAGTGGGCGGGGTTTGCCACAAAGATACGTAGCTCGATTTCGTCCCCTACAAGACCTCATAATTCTGCTCCGAGATGACTTAGAGACCTGAAAAAAAATACGCCAGAGGTGAAAGTAGGAGTAGAGGTTGAATGTGAACGCTGGGCGTGGCACACCCGGATGTGGGCGGAGTTTGCCACCGCTCTCATAACTCGGTTCCTAGAAGTTCCGGCGACCGGGGAAAATGTGCATAAGTATTGAGGTATGGAGTAGGGTTGAATGCCATTGTTGGGCTAAGCCATGCACCAAAGTGGGCGGGGTCTGCCTCAGAAATTCGTGACTCATAACGCCATTTACAAGACCTCATAATTCGGCTCCGAGATGACTTAGAGACCTGAAAAAAATATGCCAGAGGTGAAAGTAGGAGTAGAGGTTGAATGTGAACGCTGGGCGTGGCACACCCGGATGTGGGCGGAGTTTGCGGCGTAAGTAAGATGTACCGAGCAGAAAGCTAAAATCAAGACAAAAATACTGATGGGCCCGATTTTACCGCTGCAGCCCCGTCTCATGCACGCGAATGCGTGCGCAGCCAAACTGGTAAATATAATAAATAAATAATAAATCTCGAATGGTTTTTTTTTTTATATTGAAGTGCCTAAAGTTTATATCATTAACATTGTTTTTCTTAGTTGCTTGGAAAATGCCGCTGATTGTATCCCCCGAGCAATGGCGACGTTCGTTTGATACTAAGCAAGCGGTCGAGAACGATGAAGGCGTCTTCCCGAATAAGAAGTTGCGGTCAGTGGAAATCTTTTTTTCCATGTTTTCTCATTTTCCTGAAATTATAATATTTTGACTGTCGTTCCTAACTTGCCTTTGCTATACTTTTCGATTGACTCTTCATTTTTTTTTTCAAAGTATTTATTATCGCGACATTGCAATCATTCGCTTGTACGATAAAACTTTAGTGGCGTATGCATGGCGTATAGCGAGGAATTGCGTCCAATTTCGTGTTGTCTTACGTTCTGTTATCAAAATGAGTTTTACTTCAGAATGCAGTCAGCGCCTCCAAGTGAAGGAAATCAGCGGCCAACAGCACAGGAACACAAGAAGTCCGGCACCACGCATCCCGCATACGTGGTTGCGTTCAGTGGAATTGATGACGAAAATAAGCATGTCTTAACTCAGGTATTTATTCACCATGCATTATTGCCTGGCCACTTTTCAGAGCCTTTTTTATTTTTTTATTTTATTATGTTTTGTTTAATAGTGGGGGTTCGTCTTTACTGAATTTTACTCTATCTTTTACTTATTTTTGCAAGCAGTCGGAGCATTTAATATGCGGTAAATATCGGTACCTTGTTCAGAAACTCCGATATTTGGGCGGGCGAGCGTGTGAGGAGGTGTCTGAATGTACACACCTGGTGACAACGAATGGTCGTCGCACGGAGCGGCTACTGGAGGCGATTTGTTTGGGCAAAAACATCGTGAATCCCTTATTGGATAGTGCACGGATATGAATGTCGACAGTGGATGGGTTTGTCTTCTTATTTGCTGTATTTTTACGATTTACGCTGCCCTTACATGCCCGTAATAAGTAGTTAAAGGGAGAATTAGCGCCAGAACCGAAAGGCGTGAAAACCGTGCACTTTCTTGAGAATTGATTGGAAAAGTTACTTTGCAAGAGGGGGGGGGGGGGGGGGGGCCCCAAAGTTAAGGTTATGAACGTCAATGATGCAGATTTCTCGGTTTTTTTTCCTCTGAACTTCTTGAAGGAGTTCTGAAAGTAGCCCGCGACATACTTTCATAGAAAAAGATACTTTTCGAGTAGTGAAACTGAAGTTTTTGGAGTGAGACCTAAATTTCCTCTGAACCATTTAAGCTTCTCAACTTCTCTACTTTATTTACTTATTTATTTATTTATCTATTTATTTATTATCTGTTGTGTATTTGGAGTTTATGACACGCTTTTAGATACCCTGGATTACTTTCTTCATGATGAAGATCAGGAGCGGCATTTGGGCTACAACTGCAAACGTAGCGTTGTCAGGGCTCGCACAAGAAGGTTTTTGAGGTGTGGTATTTTCAAATGTGTTATTGAATTTAGAATTTTTAGATGTCGTGTTCTCGAAGTTATTGTTCGTACTTCTCTTTTTTATCTTATCTTTATATAGAGGGGATTACTTTTTTTCATTTGTAGAGGTTCTGCAGATATTTGCGAACAGTTTTTCGCGCAATCGAGGAAACGATTCCTCACACTAGTGCGATAGCAGATATCTAGGTGATGGTCACGTAGACCTTGCTTGTATTAGTGGTAGAATTTGCACTAGGCTGTTTGGAACTAAGCTATGTTGCACGAGCCTGTAACAAGCTGTTGCCTGTTCCAGAGGTCGTTGGTCGTCGACTTGTCGGAATGCTTCCTCCCTACCACGAAATGCTTTTGAACATCCATGGAACTTTGGAAAGGCAAGAACCTAGATTGTATCGAAGAGTCTTGGAAACGCTGTTACAAGTAAAGGCACCGAACTGCCTATATTAACTCCTAAGAAAGTCTATGAAGCTTTCAAAAGTTGGCAAACGATCCACATGAGGCAAGCCTAACCTTGGTGTATCGCAGTCGCCGTGGCCTAGCTCCAGACAAAAAAGCGTACCTTATTCACGTCGGTGCGCGCTCATTCATTATCATTTACACCGCCACCACCGCTTGTCCTTCAACGCTCGAAAAAATTCTTGATGCTCCTTTGCCAAAACCCAGCGGAGTGGTCGAGAAAGGAGGCGACCTCACTTCCGAGTTGGAGTTGATCGTCTAATTATTTCGTCATCAAGATGATGATTAAAGGTCCAGGATAGGTTCGCAGTCATTTATAGCTCGACCAGAGGGATTACGCTAAGAGAGGTAAAGAAATCTTGCCGCAAGTCCCAGAATTTCTTACCGGGCTCATTTCGGATCATGGTGATTCGCAATGTCATGAAAGAAATGAATATTGTCGCGGTACGAGGGCTGCTGACGAGCTGCCTCGGCCAGCTTCTGGAGTTCGCAGCCTAGACCTCTACCTACACAATGGTGCCCATAACGAAGAATTTGTAAATGAGCTTCCGTAGGAGCCCTTCCTGTAATGGAGTGTGTAGGACGCTGCTGGCTCTTATGAAAATATCAAAAGATCGAAAGCGCTGATAAAGCTGAAACACGCTGTAGCGGTGCACGACATGCCTATTGAAGCGATTGCAGATAGTGTTGGTCTTTGACACGAATCCACAGTTATGGAGACATTTGTACTAGACAGTGACTCGGAGTGTGGATTACCAGTGGTCGGGGTTTTTTGAATTTTCTTGGTTAACTATTGACTGCAGCACTTAGATCCACCTCGTGGATTAAAGCCACGAGAATGTTACCATTTGTTAGTCATAAATGTTACCTATTGATTTTTCAAAAAGAAAGAAAATTTTAAAGAGTGTCGCAGAACTTTCTTGCCAACCTAAATTTCACCTCTTTTGGGTTACGCTGACTTGATTCATTTAGGATGTCCAGTTCTACATAACACCATCAGTGGAACCGAGTCGTGCAGTGCTAACAAAATTGATCAGACTAGCAGGTGGCACAGTACATGAAGATCGTCCAGCTCCGGCTGATATAGGTATGATTTCTTCTCGATGATTTCAAGGGTGATCAGAAGAATGTGACAACACATAGACATTCTGCGTTATTTCGGGAACATTGTGGCTGCTGTTAGATTCAATTTATTTCATTTTGTCGCTATTAGCAAATTCGTTCTTCTTTTATATTCAGTAATCATCATCCTCCATTTTCCAACTTGTTCTCTGTTTTCTTCTTTTCGATTTTTTGATTATTTACGCGCGATGCATTGAGACGGATGCGCCATACATCGTTATCAGCTGTGGAATGCATGCGAATGCCGTTCGTACGGCTGGAGCTGACAAGTTCCTGTGTCAAGTATATTAACTTCAATTCGCGACCTTATTTGCCTTTCTCATTATGAGCATTTTTGAAGTTCGTTTTGTTCCCAGCTCCTGCTATTATTTACCTTTATATTATCTTCCCATCTTTTCTTACCTTTTTTTATTTATTTACTCTTTACTTATTTATGGATATTCTCCATTTATTTGCTTATTGTGCTGCATAAGGCAGATGCACAGAGACTTTTTATGAATCTTCTTCTCATATCGACTCACTCGGAGACTGGCCTGGGCGGCTTAGGAAATTTTTTGAACGACAAACCATAAATATATCATCATCTGTCCCTGTCCATGATTTTCATCTATGTTTCTGATCGAGTCTGTGTGTACATACTGTTACGGTATCGTAATGTTCTTGGTTTCATTTCAGCTGTCGTCTACAACACTGATATGATACTGATAGCACTGATGCGTCAAGAACTCGAGCCTCATCCGCTTTATCGAGTGAGCACAGCATCTTTGGCAAGGCCAACGCCAGCACCTTCGTCTCAACCACCATCGACACCTGGCCATCCGCAGTTCCGCTCAACGCCTTCGCAACCACAGCCGCATCGAGTCAAAGCTTAGTTAATGACGGCAATTCTTGGAGGGTTCCAAATTCGTAACTGAACGCCAAAACCGCGTTCGTTGTTGTAATCATTGTGGATCTCCTTATACATCGGGTGTAGCTATCGTTTCTACGGGTATTTTGATATGTTGTACAATATTGTGATCAAAAACAATGAGTGATTGAAACAGATGCCGTTATTTTGATTTCATTACCTTATTCAGTGAATAAAATAATGTCAAGATATCATGAAATAGAGTTGCATCGCTGCGACAAAACCCTAAACTCTACCCTAAACTGTTGTTATGTGTCAGTAAGTTGACCGCGCTCAAGTACAGCTTCCATTTCGAGTAATTGATGGTATTATATATGAAAACTAGAATATTCTTACAGAAGTCACATTCGAGTAAAGCTTGAAGCTGGCACAGCTTGAATTTCCATATTACATTAGCTTGGAGAAATTGAGCCAGCATTGATGGCGGAGCTGTGAAAATTTGCCATCACTACCTGAGATTGGTGATATTTTTATATAGAAATTCAGGTGGATTAGACATTGATCGCACCGAATTGTTCAACTAGGATTACACTCAAGGGAGGGCTCGACCATCAACGAGCTCTTCACCTTTTTTTAATTCCTTTGTCGTCATGGACGGAAGTGGTGTATTAGTGGCTTTTCGTCACGTAACATAATCTTGAAACCCGGGATTGAGTCCCTTATGGACAGCCTGTGTGGAAGAAATAAAACCATTGATCTGTACATTTGCCACGTTCGCAAGTCAATATAGATATGAAATCACATTTGTTACTACGATACAAGGTGGAGGTAAGACGTGTGGGTAATCCTGGATTGGTGGTCGACTTGGGCTTTTTATTCCCAAATCCGGTGCTCACGTTGCTCTTATTCCTGGAGTGATTGAGCCACTTACAACTGGGATAAACCTCAGGGCAGATGAGGATTCTGCGGAAAGACGATGAGCGAACACTTTGGTTTCCTGCGCTTCGTACCCCTCTCAGCGGGTCTTATTCGTAGACTAACATACCTTAAATGGCCCGTTTTTGAACCCTCCCAAGCACCATGAGCGCTCCCAAATGCCTGATTTAATGCGGATCGCTACCTTTATAAGTTGAAGGATAATGAAGTAATCCCGTCAAATATGGACTAATGAAAACCTTTTGAAACATACTGCTTTCACATTATATGTAAGCCAGTTAGAGCATCCCTTGTTCCTGTGATGTCTCGTCCCCTCTCGCCAAAGAGAAAGGCATCTACGTGAGAGTGACTATATGAAAAACTCTTCAAATAATAGCTTAAGAAGCATTCAGACTTGTTTACCTTGACCTTGTTCGAATTCGACGCTCTCCCATTCCGTTATTTATGGTAGGGTTACATAAGCATTCCAAGAGTTTCCAGAAATTATGGGTATTTCAATGAAATACAGGAAACTATAACATGGGATTATGTCGGATCGATTTGTGTGAAATGTCGGTGGAAGATCTTCAGAGTGAAAGACCTCTGCGATAAATGTCCTTACCAGAAAATGGTAGCACGCAAAGGAAACCTCCTGACGCGGGGCTCATCATTCTCGTCTTTCAACAACTCACTTCAGCCATCTCCACCCGTCCGCCCCATCTAACTATTAACCTTAACGGGCTCAGGCACGCTAGAGAAGTAATTCCCGTGCCTGGAGGTTGTATGTGGGTAGCTGCACACATTGCAGCAACTTCCCACCTTGAAAAACCCCGTTAAGGCCCCGGGGCGTTCGGTTTCAATCCAGGGCCGCCTGGTCAATCCAGGACCGCCCACCTCCGGAAGTGGTGCGTGGCTGGCATAACGTGTGAAATCAGCTAGGTTGATTGCCGTATCAACCGATAGAACGACTGACATCTCCAGAAAACTTGTTTGTACGTGCCTCTTCCCCAAGCCAGCCTCCTTCACTGCTAGTGGGAAAGAGGGTTTTGTTAACGGCCTTGTCGACGGTTTTTCTCAGTTTTTTCTCCACTGTCGTTCCACTTCGCATCTCTATACTCAGTTTCAATCGCCATAATACCCCCTTATTGAGCCCGACTTTTGCCTTTAAAGAGACTCCATATAGGCTGAGGTGCTTGAATGTATGTTGGGTCGATATATTCTCCTTTACACGAGGTCGATAATAACCTGGGGGGCTATCGTATCGGCGGAGCCTGAAAGTGGTCGAAGCGCTGCCTTGAAGGAGAGTTCCACGATAGGAGAAGAGGAAATATATCCAGAAAACGCAAGCGGGCCCGCAGAGTGTGCGGCCATGTGCGTTACAACGATGGGTAAGCCTAGCGGCCTAGCAGGGCCGTACCGGCGACACTCGTCACGCTTCGACGCCCTCAGGATTGACCCCCCCCCGCACCAGCCATTAGACTCTCGGCCGTAGACAATACGTTCGCAGAAATGCCCGTAGCAGAGCATTCACGGTAGTAGAGCACGCATACAGCAGCGTCAGCCCAGATGAGATAACCCTTAGTGAGGGAAGATCAACGGGAAAGAAAAGTCACATTCTCGGGTTTCGTAGACCCATTTGCTTGATCGCGGTTTATTCTGGGCGCTCATCCAGTAAGGGGCATCAAGTGGCTGCCCTCACCCCCCCCCCCTAGACTGCCTACACTCCCCCTGGCGCACAGGTTTCTCGAAGTACGGGACCCCGTGAGCCAGGGGGAGTGAAGGCAGTCTAGGGGGTGGGGGTGAGGGCAGCCACTTGACGTTGCATCACAATGCCCCCCCCCCTTACTGGATGAGACCCTAGCTTCTGTATCGGTTATTGTTGAAACCAAGCCTTGAAACGAAATTTCAGACATTTGGTATAGAAGTGCTCATGTTGCACTTCCGAACCCATGGAATCATTTTAGGTCCACTCGCCTCTGACTTTCATTTCCTTTGAAAAGTATAACTTCGTCCCAACGTGTCTGTGTACTACTGCCAACCTTCTCGGTATACCTAAGCGTCTCATTTGAAGTATTATTGGGCAAACTAGGCGTCGATCAAGATGTGCTGTCAAGGTTACCACTCACCACCACACAACTGACGCCTAATCGTATTTTTCGCTGCTCGGGATCAGATTTGATACGTTCCTCTCGCTTTACGTTCAACGAAAGGTGAGAGTTTGCAAGGTTGGAGTTTGTGTAATGTCTAATATGTGTGTGAATCTGTTATATTTCCCAGAGGTTGTACTTACAACGCTTCGAGTCAGTTTGTTTTCAACTATAAGCTGTTACGCTAGTTCTGATCTATGTTAATATGAGCTTGCCGTGCGGTTACAATTGGGATGGGTACGTCCAGCTTTTCACGCATGTCAAGTGGCTGCCCTCACCCCCCCCCCATCCTTCCCTAGATTGGCTACACTCCTCCTGGCTCACGAATTCCCCGATTGCCGTGATACTATAGTGGCGGGCAGCTGCTCATCCTACTTGTATAGCACCTTCAGCTTCACCAAAAATGCTTGAAGGAGTCCCTGTGGTTTTCAGCGGTGGTGGAGGACGACCTTTCCTTTTATGTTCAACCACACGACTCAGCTCAAGTGAACCGACTGAGAGAACATACACGACGCGCTTCCCCAATAGTATACGCCTCAGAAAACAGCTATATCTTCTGTTTCTCTTGAATGGGAGATATATGCAATCGTTAAGATCTATATACTTGCCAACTACGTGCCAAGAAAGGACTACTGTCTCACGAAACAGTGTGAGAATGCTTGTGTGAATTTTGTAATAATTACACATATATTATTGGATCCTTTGTAATGTACGAGGTAGATGACTCTCAATAAAGCACCAGAGAGAGCATGCCTTACTAAACTCTCTATTAATAGGAGTAACTTTGAACGGATCTCGCAGTTTATCTTCGTTGCATGATTCGCTAGTTGTGGACGATACCTCTCGCTCTCCACAAAATGTCAGATTAGGTCGGATTCCCAGGGATCGCAATGAGTCGCAAAGCTTATGACTTACAACTCGCACGCGGCTCTGTATATGGTCATTGTCGAAGTAGCAAAGAGGAATTTCCGGTAGCGTATTGCGTGTCTTCTCTAGGGTACGTTTTCACGAGTGGCAGCATTGAGCTACGTTATATCGAATCACCACCATAGGCCCTGGTATCCCGTAGCAATTCCTTAGTGCTAGCTCTGACTGATGTCGGAGAAAACGCATTACATGACTCATAATCTTAACTCACTTCTCTGTAGAGCTAAATCCAGTACGCTCCGGATCGACTGGAACAGATATCAATCAAATGAGACACAATCTGGCTGAAGGTACTAATTTCCTCTCACGAACGCTCATAAACTCGGATGCATCTTGACGTTTATACTCACCAGCACTTGACGGTTGAGTAAAGAAGGAGACTGAAACTCCTTCCAATGAGAACCACGACCACATGAGGTCCATCTTTCCCTTGTTGTTTGTCAGTCGACCCATTAGCACTCGACATAACTCTTTTAAACCTAACCAATTGTTCTATAAAGTATGATTTTTTTTCTGCTGTTGACTGTTTTTGCATGGAAACGCTCACTGGGGCGTGTTTTGTTTCACGTCGCAAATGTGCGCTCTACTATGTAGGGGAAATTCGTGTTCTGGTGTGCGTCTATCATAGCCCCGTTTATTATGTTGCAGGCAGTTATACATACACTCTATAGTTCTTTCACTATATATAGTTTGCACTAGTCGAGCACGCGTTTCTCCGCTGCCTTAGCAAATGGTAAGGGTATGGGCATTTTATCTCTCACATGGCTGTTTCCTTTCCTATCTTGACGAGATCGCATAATCTACACCTATTAAGGACAGCAGAGGTGATATCAATCTCTTTGAGGTTGCATATACAAGTCCACGCAATGTGTATTCAACCTATTCCTCACGCCGTCCTGAGTGATGCTACCAGATGCGAATTGCGATCAACACTAAGTAAAAATTTTTGCCGACTGCTTCTTGTACGATTCCCTTGCCCTTAAAAGCCCATTTAAACTTAGTATTTTAGATATTATAATATGCACGTATGGATGTA